TGGCTCGACACCTTTCACTCCCATTAAAGAACTAATTTCTGTGTGGATTTTTCTGAAAAACGCGTAAACGCTTAAAGGCACAAAAAATGTAATTTTTCAGTTACCGCGGACTATTAAGATAAGGAAATAACTAATCTTTGGCGCCAATTTTTTCACTAATTTTACCTCTGAAAACAGGTGACCCCACCTCCTTCAATCGCAAATACCTCGACTTGTATTCAAAATTAATGGATATTTTTTTCATCCAAATAAAGACAAGTGAACAAGCTTTAAGATGATACCAATAACTCTACATGCCCAAAAATTGACGAGAGCCTGATTCCACCACGCTGCATCACATTTTGCCAGCCCGGCGACGGTATCCCCGCTCAACAGCAAGCTCCATGCACTTTACAATCTAGATTATTACCCCAGCAGGCGCTAAAAACTCTCAGAAACATTCTCAGCTTCCCGAAAAGCATACAGTGCAAGCGGCAAATAATCCGTGTCGAATTACAACGGACAATTTATGTAGCGTATTCCCCTACTTGAAGTTAGGCTCTAGGGAGAAAGCAATGTATTCAGTATAACACAGACAGCTAGAATTCGTCAGGACCGGCCTCGGTAGTTCGGGGGATATCTTACAAAGATAAAGAAGAAAAAAAACAACAAAAAAACGGGACCACAGGCACAGTTCGATGGATGCGTGATTTCGAGTCTTCTATGTTCGACCTATTTGTGTTACACCGTACTATTATTACCCTGACAGGTCTTAAAACACTCTGCGCCATTTTCAGCTTCCTGAACAGTACTCAGGGCAAGCTGCTACATCTCAGGTACTCAAATACTATCAATCCGTACTGACAATATCATTCACCGCTAAGGAGACGGAGGATTAAGCATTTCCACCCCAATGAACAAACAAAGGACAAATGAAATATGCTTTTCCCAAATGTCTTCCCATAGGACAAAGACACTGATTTCATTCAGGGTTACGGACCCACAACCTTATGATTGGGAGCCACACAACCTGACCCCTGAGTTGTTTACTCCTATTATGTCCATAGAACATACCAACAAAAAACAAAACCAAATGTTGAGAAAACAAGAAATGCTTACTGGTCACACAAAGGCACAAGAAAATTGTACAAAATGCAATTTTAAAAATCCCAGGAAACAGGGAACAGATCACGCACGACCTCAGTGCTTTCTTGTTGTATCTCCATTTGTGAGGCAGAGTGGTGGAATCAGGCTCTCGTCAAAATAATGAAATCGAAGAAAACAGCAGTTTTCTCCCTGCTTAGCAATTTTTGTCAAATTTTTATTTTTTGGCTTAACACCTTTTATGTCCATTTACAAACATATTCCTTTGAGGATTTCACCGAAAACGTGGATTAAAGGCACAAAAATATAAATTTACAGTTTCCAGCTTTGGAATTTACCAAGCTTTGGCAGCCTTTTTCTCGCTAATTTTACCTCTTAAATCAGGTGACCCCCACCTCCTTCAATCCAAAATATCTCCACTTCTTTTGAAGATGGATGGGTAATTTTTTCTTTGAAAGGAAGATAAATGAACAAGCTGTAAGATGATACCAATAACTCAATATGCCCCAAAATTGACGAGAGCCTGATTCCACCACGTTGCCTCACATTTTTTATAACATTGAAAATGTGACTTCTTCTTATCTCTTAATGTCCGGAAAGCCGCTCCCAGCGGCTCGTGGTCGGAACTGCTGGGCCGGTGAGTCGCTGACAGCGGCTCGGGCACATTCCTTTACGTCGACTTCGACATCAAATTAGTCTTCGGCAATTTGTGCCGAAAACAGGTATCTTATACCGGAAGTTCATTCATTAGATGAAGAACTATCAAAATAGGTTTGCTAGTTTCGGTTTAATGATCCATTTTATGGCGTTCTTGTCATTTTTAGATTTAGCGCTACAAAAGGGCCCCGACGTCGTGGGTTTACCCCCCCCAGAGATGAAGAGTTAGGCTCACTCCCTTGTCAGGTGCCGTTTTCGTTGTTTAAAAAAGTGGAGATATACGACAAGAAAAGCACCGAGGTGGCGAGATGTTACGTACAGCGACAGAGCGTGGGCTACAACTGATCAAACGACAGGCAAAACTTGGCAAGGCAGACGATGAAATCACAGCGAGGCATACGGGAACATTTACGTACCCAGGCTACCACCTGGGCAAACTTAGAAACAACGTTCACGTTCTATATATATGTCTACTGGAAGAGTTAAAAAAGTATACACGTTCATTCTAGAACCCAACTCCAATCTTCCTACAAGTATACACGTTCTAGACAGGGAAACCTTGTATTTGTCAAGAAAACCTTGCTGCCTTTTCGGTTTCTTTGCTTTACTTGGTCCAGAGTCGGATTTAGAACTCAAGTGTCAGTGTTTCTTCACTAAATGTGCACAATTCTAGAACTCAACTTAGAAGTCTTCCTAAAAGTACGCATATCCTATATCCCAACTCTATAAGTTCCTAAAAGCACACACGTATTGTATATCCCAACTCTAAAACTTTCTAAAAGTACATCCATCCTATATCCCAACTCTAAATCTTTCTAAAAGTACATCCATCCTATATCCCAACTCTAAAAGTTCCTAAAAGTACACATATTCTATACGTCAACTGGAAGTGTTCCTAAAAATAGGCCTACACAAAACAAATGGGGAGGAGACACGCACCAAACTCCCACACGCCACAATATTACTTTCCAGTTTTGTGCACTGTAGATTCATCAGTTGGGGGAGATACCAATTTTTTCTTTCTCCAAAATTGCAACTTCCCCCCCCCCCCCCTCCCTCTAAAACCCCACCCCCCCCCTAAAAAAAACAAGAACCCCCCACCCCTCCTCCCTATTAAAAAAACCCCAAAACCCAACATTCCAAAATGAACTGGACTGTGCCGATTTATCAGCAAAAACAGTCAAACCAGTTCTAAAAGCCACCTGTCATCCGGCCACCTGTATAAGACAATCACCTGGCCACCTGTATAAGACAATCACCTGGCCACCTGTATAAGACAATCACCTGGCCACCTGTTTAAGACAATCACCTGGCCACCTGTATAAGACAATCACCTGGCCACCTGTATAAGACAATCACCTGTACAAATTTTGACTGTATAGTCCACATTGTTGAGTTTATCGTGAAGAGTTTCACAGCACTTGCAACACAAGAAGGTCATATTATGTAAGTGCTGAAGATAAGATGTGTTACGCCACAGAAACAAACAATAAAAAAACAAACAAAACAAAACAAAAGGAGGAGAGAAAAAGACGGTAGACGTTTGATAGCAAGAAAAAAAAAAGGAGCAAACGACACCAGAGCACCCACCAACCACCCACGCTGTTCCTGAGATGATTTGAGACCGGGACAAAAGCACAGGGGGAGGGCTGGGCATGGTGTTATGGGACTAAAATGGGAAGCTAGGACATGTGTTTGCCACTGAAATGGGAAGCTAGGACATGTGTTATGGGACTAAAATGGAAAGATAGGACATGTGTTATGGGACTAAAATGGAAAGATAGGACATGTGTTCGCAACTGAAATGGGAAGCTAGGACAAGTGGTATGGGACTAAAAATGGGAGGAAGGGAGGGGGGGGGTAGCTAAGGCATGTGTTATGTGATTAAAGCAAAGAGGTAGGACATTTACCATGAGCTGTGTGTACACACGAGTAAAAGCTATAAATAAAAATGACCTGCATTATTATTATTACTATCATCATAATCATAATAAAAAGAGGAAGTGGGGGGGGGGGGGGGAGAGGTGATTAGGACATATGACATGTCTGATGGGGGGGTGTAGGTGTATAACTGCCCACCCCTCTCTGTGGCTATCAGTGAGGACAGCCTTGCTCGCAATCAGAGACATTGACTAATTATCAGGGACAGCCTTGCTCACAATCAGGGACATTGACTAATTATCAGGGACAGTCTTGCTCACAATCAGAGACATTGACTAATTATCAGGGACAGCCTTGCTCACAATCAGGGACATTGACTAATTATCAGGGACAGCCTTGCTCACAATCAGGGACATTGACTAATTATCAGGGACAGCCTTGCTCACAATCAGGGACATTGACTAATTATCAGGGACAGTCTTGCTCACAATCAGAGACATTGACTAATTATCAGGGACAGCCTTGCTCATAATCAGGGACATTGACCAATTATCAGGGACACCTTGTATTTGTCAAGAAAACCTTGCTGCCTTTTCGGTTTCTTTGCTTTTCTTGGTCCAAAGTCTGACTTAGAACTCATCGCCTAACGTTTTGACGCCATCTTTTCAAACGAATGAAGAAGCCGAGCGCCGCGCATGCGTATCAGCTGACTTTGTCGAAATTGCACATCTGCCAACTCTCCCGAATTTTTCGGGAATCTCACGAACTTTCGTCATTTTCCCGAGCAACAGAAGGCTGATTTTTCTGTTTTAGAAGTATGCTTGCCAAGTTGTTCTTTTCCGGGACCGTCTGTCAAAATCCGTATTACCGGGACAACAGCGATTTTTCAAGAAAATCCGTACAAAATACGGAAAGCCCGGGACAGTGGGCAGCTATGTAAGAGCAGGACATGGGATATTTGAAAAGGGAAGTGGGGGGCTAAAGGTGGTGGGGGTGGCGGAAAAGACAAATGGCACGTGAGGGAAGCGATACATAGAAGAACAACATTTTTTTAAAAACACTTTGCAGCCACACAGTCAGCGGTACAAAAATACCCGATCTGGTCACCCAGCCAGGAGAGTGACGGCAACAGACGTCTCAGCTGAACTGCGCCAGCCAGTTGACCGGAACGGATAATTTTCACCGGCGCATTCATTATTGCGCTAAGTGACCGAAAAGTGTTAAACAAATAAAGAATTAATAAATAAAATACAACCCCCCCCCCCCCCCCCCCCCACTGTCGCATTAATATTAAGTGACCGAAAAGTGTTTAAAAATTTATAAAAAATACATAAATAAAAACACTAGATGAGCGAGTCTGTCTGTGTGCATGCCCCCCCCCCCTCCCCCTTCGCCCCGCACCGCGGTGTGTCAATGTCAGCTCCACCCGTCGGTGACGTCAGAAGAAGGGAGGAGCGGCCGCCAGGTTCCGGTCGTCACCACTGACGACAGCGACAGCGACAGTAACAGCAGCAGCAGCAGCAGCAGAGGGTTCCCCGCGAGGCAGCGGCCGGCGCAGAAAGAGTAGTCCACCCGCTTCCTGGGCAGGTTGTACGGAGGTTCCCGGTCCGCCGGGCAGCTCACACCGTGGGCCTGTGGGAAGGATGGATAAAAATAGATTTAAAATTCAACATATATCGCGACGTCAGTGCTTTCTTGTCGTATCTCCCTTTTTTTTTAACAGTAAAAATGTGACTTCTTCTGAAGCTCATTCTTTGTAATGAACTGTTTTCACTGCTTAAAAGACAGGAAAAATGACAAGAAAGTACTGAGGTCACGATATTATTATTCATTCTCCATTGGAAGGGGGGGGGGTAGGGTGTGGCATAAGGGTGTTGGGGTGTCGGTGGGTGGGGGAGCGTGTGGGGGAGGAGGGGAGGAAGGGAGATTTTAGTTTTAGCAAGAGTTTTACGGCACTTGCGACACAATAAGGTCATAAAAATGCCGAAGAATAGAGGTATTTCAAGGAAGTAACAAACACATTAAAAAAAGGAGGGAAGACAAAGACAACATGTTTGATAGGAAAGAAGGCGGAAACCACACCAGAGCACCCTCTAATCACCCACAAAAATAGATTTAACCCCCCCCCCCACACACACACACACACACACACACAGACAGGTGGGTAGTGACCCTGACCTTGCAGATGGCTTGACAGTCCCGGCAGACGATGGTTCCCTTGTGCACATAGTAGGCAGACTGGAAGGTTATGTCCAGTACCACACACACACACACACACACACACACACACACACACACACACACACACCCACACACACACACACAGACCTTGCAGACGGCTTGACAGTCCGGGCAGACGATGGTTCCCTTGTGCACGTAGTAGGCAGACTGGAAGGCTATGTCCAGAATCTGGCCCTGTCTGTAACATCTGTACGACTCGTTCTTTACTCGCACGTACAGGCCCACGCCCTCCACACAGTCGTACTGAAGAAAACATTTTTTTACAACTGAATACAAACAGCTTAAATTTAAAAATCAAAATAACTTTAAAATAAAAACCCCTAGAAAAAACAGTCACTGAAATAAAAAGAGTTGAGATTTCAAAGTTTATAGAAGTAACGAGGGCAGGGAGCTACATCTGTAGAGATACTGATTAAAAACCTACAGTAACTTGTAATACCCACATACTATCTCTCTCTCTCTCTCACCCACACACACACATACACATTTTGGAACACGTACACACACACACACATACACAGAGTGCTCTCTCTCACATACAGATATACAGATACTCTCTCTCTCTCTCACATACACACACACTCACACGCACCCTCTCACATACACACGGGTGCGCTCACCCTCACACACACAAACTCACCTCACAACAACCACTACCGGCGTGTTGTGGAGAGCGCGTGCAGCTGCACTGATGTATGATGTAGGAAACACACCCACCCACACACACACACACACACACACACCCACACACACACACACACACACACATACACTCACACACACAAACTCACCTCATAACAACCACTACCGGCGTGTTGCGGAGAGCGTGTGTAGCTGCATTGATGAAGGAACCAGCGACCGGCGTGCTCAAAACACAGGCTTTTGGCTCCGTACAGCTCCCCGTAGAAGTTTGTGGCCGGGGCTAGAACACAGAAGTTTAGTTTTTGTAACAGTTTCACGGCACTTGCAACACTATAAAGTCAGAATATAAGTGCTGAAGATTAGAAGTTTTTTAGTTTTAGTAGAGGTTTTACAGCGCTCGCAACTGCATAAGGTCATATGAGCGCCAGAAGATTAGAGGTGCTACAAGAGAGTGACAAATATTTTTAAAAAGAAGGAAGAGAGATCAGGATGATAGGTGATAGATAGGAAAGAAGGAGCAAACCACATCAGAGCACCCACCAACCACCCACCAAAACACATAAAGGGAGGGAGGGTTGGGGAGATGGGAGGGGGAGAGGGAGTGGTGAGGTGGGAGGGGGAGAGGGAGGGAGGAGGGAGAGGATTGGGGAGGGGGGAGGAGGAGGAGGGGGACAGAGGGACTGAGAGGGAGGGGTGGGGGAGAGGGAGGGGGAAAGGGGAAGAGGAGGGTGTGGGGGTTGGGGCAGAGTTCAGTTTCTTTGAATGTTATGATTGAATAACGCTTACTTTAATATTACTTTTAGTTTTACAGCGCTTGTAACATAAATAGGCTATATAACCGCTGAACATTAGCTGTCCCTGTTGTTTTATGTAAGAAAAATTCTGAAATTATGCAAACTGAGCCCAAAAATGTGAAATTATGCGATTCTGTTAATTTTAATAAAGAATGATAAAGGAAAATAATCAGAAATTATGCAAAAAAATGATCAAATTTTGCTAAATTATGCGGGGTGCATAAAACCACGGGGACAGGATTAGAGATTAGCTAGGGAGTGGCATTCAAATAAAAGAAGGAGAGATGTGGATGATGGACGTTTGAGGGGAAAGAAGGAGCAAACCGCACCAAAGCACCCTTTGTTTGAGTAAAGAGAAGCACATTTTAGAAAGTTGTACACAATTAAAAAGACAACAAGTTTCCAAAGAGTTGCAACACATTAGGTCACATAAGTGCTGAAGATTACAGGTGTTATAGAATAGAGTATCAAACACAAAAAAGGAGAGATAAGGACAATAGATATTTGAAAGGAAAGAAAAAGCAAACTTCACCAGAGTTTTTTTTTTTTAAATAGTAGAGGGTTTTACGGCGCTCGCAACTGCCTAAGGTCAAAGGAGCGCCAAGGGGTGGGTGTCAACAGAGAAGTCTTTACAGGGAATCAGACTTAGACTGCTCACCTCTCTAGCTTCAACAGCACAAAGTCTGCTTCCACTATCAAGGCACCCAGGAAATAGCAGGTCACAAGAGAGTGACAAACATACAAAAGAAGTAGAGGAAAATGACAATAGTAAGGATCAGGAAAGAAAAAGCAGCAGTTCCCTGTTATAGATCAGGCACAGTTATGAGCGTGACATGAGTCAGCCCATTTACAATTCTACGATGCTTGAACGAGATATGTCCCCCCTGTGTCAACAGAGAAGTCCAAACAGGGAATCAGGCACTCAGTAATTGCATATATAAGAATGACAAAGACATTTGAAGTAACAAACATCCAATGACAACAGCAACGATAACGAAAATAACAACAACAAAAACAACAACGACAAAAACAACAACACCAACTGCAACAAAACAACAACACCAACAACAACAACACAGACGCCAGCACCGACATACCCAAGTTGTTCTCAAAATCCTGGCAGTTGGAGCCTCTCATGGGCACGTTGTTCTCATCCGTCCAGGAAAACTCCTAGAGGAAAATACAACAGACAGATAGACAGACAGACAGACAGACAGACAGACAGACAGACAGACAGAAGACAGACAGACACACAGACAGACAGACAGACAGACAGACAGACAGACAGACAGACAGATAGACACACAGACAGACAGATAGACAAACAGACAGATAGACACACAGACAGATAGACAGACAGACAGATAGACAGACAGACAGATAGACAGACAGACAGATAGACACACAGACAGATAGACAGACAGACAGATAGACACACAGACAGATAGACAGACAGACAGATAGACACACAGACCGATAGACAGACACACAGACAGATAGACAGACAGACAGACAATGTTCAAACAAACCAACAAACCATGGCAAGAAACACACAGATACACACACACACAAACACACACAGACATACACATACACTCACAGACACACACACACTCACAGACACACACACACACACACACACAAAAATACAAACACACACACAGACATACAAACACACACACAAACACACACACAAGCACACACACACAAAAACACACACACAAACAAACACACACACACACACACACACACACACACACACACAAACAAACTCATTAACTCTATTCTGTTCTAAGATTTATCGTGTTTTTCCCTACATGAGTGGATATCATCACTAAATTGGCCAAAGAATCAATCAAAATTGCCCGATTTTAACAAAAATGTTCATTCTTAAATCTTCCAATCCCTACACATAGCCGAACTTTATTTGGAAACTTCCAGACCCATCGTGGCGTAACATCATTTTTATCAAAATCTATTTTAAAAAAATAAATCAGAAGCAAGTATGAAAAAGTCGAGAGATTGCGACCTCAGTGGTTTCTTGCCTTATCTCCATTTTTTTTAAACATTGAAAATGTGACTTCTTCTTCGGCTCACTCTTTGTTATGAACTGTTTTCACTGATATTAACCTTATCCGTATGGCCTGGGGTCATTTTGTACCCCCGGGTTGTATTCTTCCCATTTTACAATACTTTGAGTGCAAAGATCTCTTTGAAACTTTCAGTATTTCTCAAAGAATCATTTTGACAGACTGCTATGCAAAAGCGTACGGATCGGATTAACGAGTAAATTTCCTCTTTGGAAAGTAGGGGCACTGAGTTCCCCACGTCGCATGGATACGATAGTAAAATACGATGTACGGATAGGGTTAAAAATGGAGATAGGACAAGAAAGCACTGGGGTCGCGAGATGTCTCTCTCCCTCACCTGCAGGTAGGGGCAGTAGTCAGCCAGAGCCACGGAGCCAGCGTAGCGTCCCGTGTAGTCTCGTCGCACGCCAGCCAACCGGCTGAAATACTGAACACAAACACAGACATGTCAGCAAAAGTGACCCAATTAACGAACAATTGTCTGAAATAATGGACACAAACACAGACATGTCAGCAAAAGTGACCCAATTAACGAACAATTGTCTGAAATACTGGACACAAACACAGACATGTCAGCAAAAGTGACCCAAATAACGCACAATTGTCTGAAATACTGGACACAAACACAGAAATATCAGCAAAAGTTACCAAAGTAAGGCATTTCTGTTTAGTTTTAGTACGAGTTTTACAGCACTTGCAAAAAAATAAGGTCATAAAGGTGCCGAAGATTAGAGGTGTTACAAGAGAGTAACAAACACAAAAAAGAATAAGGAGAGATCAGGACGATAGATGTTTGTTAGGAAAGAAGGAGCAGACCACACCAGAGCACCCGCCAACCACCCACTTTGGTTTAGTTTTAGTACGAGTTTCACAGCACTTGCAAACACAATAAGGTCATTTAAGTGCTGACGATTAGAGGTGTTGCTACTAGAGAGTAAAAGTGTGTGGATCTGACAGCATTATCAACCCCTTAGAAAAAAAGTAAAATTGTGAGGCAGCGTGGTGGAATCAGGCTCTCGTTAATTTTGGGGCATGTAGAGTTATTGGTATCATCATAAAGCTTGGTCACTTGTTTTTATTTTGATGAAAAAAATATCAATTTATCTTGAATACAAGTCGAGATATTTGCAAATGAAGGAGGTGAGGGGACACCTGTTTTCAGAGGTAAACCTGGTAAGAAAATGGCCGCCAAAGATTAGTTATTTCCTTAGCCTAAGAGTCCGTGGTAACTTAAAATTTAGATTTTTTGTGCCTTTAATCAAAGTTTTTCAGAAAATCCAGACAGAAATGAGATTTTTAATGGGCATGAAAGGTGTTGAGCCAAAAAACAAAAATTTGATAAAAATTCACAAACCTGCCGAAAAATGTAAGTTTCTTCACTTTGATTATTTTGATGAGAGCCTGATTCCACCACGCTGCCTCACAATTTTAAAAAAAGAAGGCGGAGAGATAAGGACGATAGAATACTTCATAGAAAAGAAGGAGCAGACCAGACAAGAGCACCTGCCAAGCACCCACTTTATACAGATATGTGACTGAATGTCTGCATGTGTGTGTGTGTCAGTGTGTCAGTGTGTGTGTCAGTGTGTGTGTGTGTGTGTGTGTGTGTGAGTGTAAGTGTGTGTCTATGAGTGTGTGTGTGAGCATGTGTGTGCATGTGTGTGTGTGAGTGTGTG